GTATTATAGATATACATAATATACCTACCAACCTTTTTATTTTGTTTTCCAAAAACTTGTACTTTTATTCATAATAAAATATCTACCTAATATATGATTATGGGTTTCAGGCACAAATTTTAACAGCTTGTTTTTAGAACAAGCTGTTAGAGTTTATGCACCGCAACTCAAATCTCTCTGTATAGGTACATAGCATTTACAGTTGCAAAATTACTTTTTTATTGCAGTAAAGTTGCGAACCCAATATATTTGTAATAAAAATGCAATATTGCAGTAAACTTACTAATAAATTGCAAGTAACCCTAAGGTATATTTGAATTTGTAACCTTACACTCGTAAGTTTGCTGAAGTTTTGATCTAATATTCCAGTAATATTGCTGAAAGGTTATCATTTATAAACCTTTCATTTGTAATATTACCCTAAGGTTGTTTCAGTACTTGCCGCAATACTGCGTCAACATTACAGTAAACTTCAATATAACCTTACAAGTTTGCAGTGTAATGTTACCTCATTATACTAAAATAGGTTTGACACCTCCGCCAGGTGCAGTAGCCTCTTTATTGGCGTCTTCAGGAGACCCTCCTCCTGGATAGGCTCCTCCTCCAGGAGGTGTCGGGTTCTCCAGTAAGCGAGTGCTGGGAAAGGATGATACACACTACTACTACAGGATAGCTTATCCCCATAAGGCCCGGCCTGTGTGGAACAAACCCCCCCCCCTTTCCCCCTCCCACACCAAGTCACCAGTTGTGACGTAGGTAGCATGTTATTTCTCGACTTGACGTAGGCAGTTTAAACAGCTGACGACTTAGTTATGACGTCGAAAATGGTGACACACCAGTGGGTTTCGTGCGGCACGTGACCACATTGGAGGTAACATAACCTAAAAATTAGTGAATTTTTGAAATTTCGCCGTCTAGCCCTCCTAATCCTTTGAAAAATTGTTTCTAATTGAAATATAATTCACTTCCTAGGATGGTATATGTAGACTAGGGTCAAAATACCCTCGTATTGTACAGTATGAACGTAATAAATGTCTTTATAAACTATTAAACAGCAAATCAAACAAAAATATAACTAAAACAACTAAAAAATGTCAAAAGGAGAAAGCATGACACTCCAACTCCATATAAACAAATGGGATAAGGTTAGGTTGTCTTACCTCCAGTGTCAATTTAGTGACGTCACGTGCGCGAAACCAATATGGCGGCGATTACAAAAAACGAGCCGGATAAGCAATCCTGTAGGTGTGTATCATCCTTGAGTTCTGGGCACTCGAATAGGATATGAGAAGCTGATTCTTTGTTCTCGTCGCACAGTCTACAGATGTGTTCATCTTGGAAGAGGAAGATACCCATCTTGTGTTATTGTTTTCTTAGTGTACAGTGACCGGTTAAGAGTCCTATCACACTTCTGATCTGATTTCTCGTGAGTTCTAGGATCTCAGAGGCTACTCTTGCCATGGGATATTTCACCATTGCCTTACTGTGGTGTTGCCTCGGTGTTTGGATACCAGTGGTTTTTGTATTCCTCTCGGATCCACTTTTCTAAGCAGCCACGTATCGAGGTTTTTGATATTCCGAATACGGGTTCAGGGCCCATAATAAAAGTCCCATACCTGTACCTCAATTTGTTGAAATCTTTTTGAACAACCCGGATGATGGACTCGCTAGTCAAACATTTTAACTGATCCAAAACGTACAAGGCATTTTGATATTTACACGCAGAGGATAAATAATAATTGTATTCCAATAATGTTTAATACCTTATTACTGAATAGCTAACTTTATAAGAAAATAAGCATACAAACACAATGTGTATCGGAACGTAAAGTGAACTTTGATAAATGCGCTCATTTTAAAAAGTGGTCCATCAGTAAGTAAATGTCTGTTCTTTTAGATCCTTCACATATTACTAGGTAGCGAAGTTATTTTAAAATGTTTAAAAATAGTACACGTGTGCATCCGATGGTTAACCCCTTCATTCCCAAATCCCTTTAAGTCTTTTAGCCTTAACATAAGATATCAACTGTTACTTAATGCTCTAAATCGGGATAAGAGAAAGTTTCGCTACTTAGGTACTACCTACTGATTTTTTTTTTCTTTTTGTAGATTGGATATTTTCGACACATACAAAACCTGCCCCTTACCTTTTCCTGCTATAACGTCAAACAAAGACGATCTTAATTTACGATGAGAATAAAAATCAAAGTTAGTAATTCCAGAATGGGTTCTCATTGACTTAAAATAAATAATTTAAAATTAAACCCTAAAAAAACCAAAAACTTAGTATGTAACACAATTTTCGTTACCCATTACTGTTGACAGCAAATTAAATACGTTAGATTTATTAAAATATTTAGGAACAATAATTGTTGATTTTAAATCAAATTTCAAAAGTTTTTGAAGAATAACCAAAACGTTACCTTTAAAAATGATATACGCTTTTATTTTCCAATTTAAACAAAATTATGATTTCATGACAAACCAGAAGTTCATATACATTTCAGTTATGGTCGAGCTTGAACCTGACCCGATCGATAAGTTAATGTAGTTGAGTATAGTATTGATCTAGTTTAATACTGAGTAATTAATTGTACCCGAAGCATAAGTTTTATTCAACCTAGCTACTACAACATTGCAAAACTTTTCAGTAAGCTAAGTTTTTCCAGTCGTTTAAAATTTCCCTCTTTAACCATTTAACCCTCAATCAGACCATTGATTTAATGGATACTTTGGGTTAGCTGATTGATTGATCAAAAAAGTCTATAAGCTTCCACCTAAACCGTTTTCCGGAAAAAAAGCTTTTGATTATTTTCACTTAGCGACGCACGACAAGAATGTTATACGGATTAACATTGTTTATCCTTAACATTTCTATTTTAACAATTGGACAATTAAAAGAAATTGCAGCTCAGTGTACATGGAACAAAAAAAAAAAAATCTGATACGTGATAAATCGTTAAACGGTTTTTAACGCGTTATATTGACAAACGTTTTGTGTTGGACAAGTGCGATCAATGCGAAATTAAAAGGTCTATTTATGGTATTAGACAAACTACAAAACATTCTATTCTAAAAATAATAATAGACCTTTTCGGTGATCTGAAGACATAACGGTATAAAGTGATAACTACACCACAATATTTAATTTCATTTAATGGAATCAATCATTTATAAGAAAAGAGAATAGGTATATATCATTTAGCATGACCCCATCAAAAGAAATTGTCTATATTCAGGTAACAGTTAAAATTATCGCTTCAAACCATAGACATAGTCGTGCAATGTATTTTTCCATTTTTATTCTACTCTTTACTCTCTTAAATACTCAATAAATAATAATACAACTAGTACAACTTGATTAGAACTAAGAAATACTTCTCAACACATACGCATACTCTGGGATTCTGATTCAATCATACGTAGGTGCCGATGAATTTTTAATCAAACAGTAAACTAATACCGCACATGTATACATTACTTGCCCCTGGTCCTAATAACTATTAGATTTGAATAAACTATCAAAATATGCCAATACATTTTTCAAATTACTGCACAAGATTCAAATAGCTCCTTCGGGTCGCCCCAAAATCAGTTAAAAAATTATATAATAAAAATTGTAGTTTGTAGTCGAGTTAATTTTATTTTATTTTTTTCAGGAAAGGAAATACAAATGAAATTTAGTCCAAGTAGGACATAAAAAATGCGCTTGTAGACAATTGAATTTCCTATAAATTTCATTAGAAAGTCATTTCATGTCTCTAAGAGTTTACTTACGATATATTATTTCAACGACATCCCACCTATACAATAAAGTTCACCCTATAGGTGCAATAGGTGCACGGTGTGCACTTGGCTTCAGAATACCATATACCCATAATAACATTTCATGTGAGAACGGAGAAAAAATACCTACTACTACCTGATAATAATATCAGTGGCAGGGAGTTGACACAACAGGGCAACTACAGCCCGAAAACACAAAAAAATTTCAGAGTGATTCCCTAAAAACACTGTTCTGTTTGACAATAAAACCGCTATCAAACAGAAGTGATGAGATTAAACCACTTATTGTATGTATAGGTACATAGGGACGATCCTCAAAATCGATGAAAAATTCTCCGGAAATACTGGGAGGCATAAGGTCTTACGAGTATTATATGACATGCAGAACGGACATAGGATCGAGGGAATGGATGAGACGCAACATAAAAATATCCAGGAATTGAGGAGGATTGCTTATTGGACCATAAAAAAGAGCTTACAAAGAAACTGGTAAAAATTTTGGAATAGATATTAGGAACACATCTCAACAGCAGAAATCTGCTTGAGGCGGTTAAAATGCGAGAACGCTCTCTGTGAAGATACTCGTTTGGAATTGTCAGACATTAAAATGGATATGGAAAATATCCAATGAAAGGCAAGAACATTTGACAAAATCATGCAAGCAGTGTGACTGAGAGTACGAAACTATCTCTATGGCTGGAAAGATGAGGTCTGACAGATATTAGACACTTTAAGTTGGACCAAACACGTTAACGTAATCTTTAAACGTAAATCCTATTTTTTAATATAGCGTTGAGTGACCGTCGGTGCTGACAAATCAATTTAAGTTAAATTTTCACGTAAACGTTAACGTTATATCTTACAATCATGACCTTACCTCTAAATTTTGTTGTGGAAAGGACAAATTAGAAATAATTTTTTTGTATTTTGATTATTTTGAATTACACGACACCTTTTTTAAAGGTTAAAATACATTCGGCAAAGGTCGACACCGGCAATCTGGCTTTCGGGCCCACTCGGTTTAACGAACGTTTACGGATAAGGTAAACGCAAAGACCCGCTAAATAACGTGACACGTAACACGCTATTTTTGGTGAAAAGAAACTGCGCACGCGCAGCTGTCAAATCTTACGTTAGCGTTAACGTATTTTGTCTAACTTAAAGTGTCTATTAGGAGGCTCCTGAACCAGTAAGTACCTATTCAATTTACGTACCTTTTTTCTTGCGAAGGCCAACACCTTAACATTGTACAGTGCAATATGCGAAATTGATGAAACAAAACCTTTGCGGCTAAAGAATCCTGCCCTGCTCGTTGAGTCAAACTACAGGCTTTCCCTTGGACCAATGTTCCCAAAAACAGAGGGCTTTCTCTTGGTTATTCAGTACTAGATCGTTCCGATGCGTAGCTGCCGGAAACATATTATTAGAGTCACTATAGTAGCAGACTATCCAGCACGTTACTGGAGAATGCCAGGCATTTGCTGCAAAGTGTCTTATCACAATACTCACCTGAACTCATTCTTGAACATTAAATATACAAGCTAGATTAGCATCTGGTTGCACACAATAGACCGAATATTATAGTTTAAAAAAATATCAAGTAAAATGTACAGTTCGAATAATTTTGCCTTCAACTGTGATGATACCTAGGAAACTCTTGAATAACATCAAGTTTTTGGGAAACAATCAAAAGTCTTCAACCCCAAAAACCAGGAAAGAATCCGCATGCAGAACTCAATCCTTTTGATGACTTGTTTACCTGGGATGAGTTAATGCTTCCCGTGAAGAGAGTGCAGAGTGCAGATGTCATTTGTCTTTAATAATAATTGTTCATTAATTGCAATAGCTAACGTCACTCTTTTTTTTCCAACCTGAATGGTTTGTCCCCGAACCCAAATTCAATACACCAGAACAAGTGAAATTTAATTTTTACGTAAAAATGAAAAAAAGAAGGAAATTGAAACTTATTAATGGTCGAAGAAAGTTTAAGTTAATTGTATATTTTTCCAAAATCTTTCCTTATTTTATATAATGGGGCTGGAATGTTTCGAATGTGGTATAGGACCAATTTAATTTCATGTGGTATAGACCAATTTAATTTCAGACCATGGGATGTAGGTACCTATACGTATAGGACGGTTAACTCAATCAGGACTGCTTCACCCAAAAATTTCGTCCGATATAGGTTAGATTTTTCACCTCAGTGCTGCCCGTCAAGGTTGCCAGAATCGAGGAATTTTGAGGAAATTTGAAAAAAAAATCCCTTAATAAGATATGTAGGTACTTGTAGTCTTTTATCCTAATTTTCAAAGTAATTCCATGTTTATTCAATAGCGAGAAGCTCAGCGGCACGAATATAAATAAGGTGCTTAAGTTAAATGTGTGCTGTCATTTTTCGTTATTTATTATAATATCGGAATTTCTAATTCAAGATTTAGACAGTTTTTTTTTTTATGAACCTCTCATGAAAAATATTTAATAAAAATGGCAACGGAACGCGTGACGTCAAAAACCTGATACTTTTGACCGACGATTCAAGAAAAAAAAAGGTTAGGGGGGATTAGTTCATGCTTTCCTAGTTAACCGGCGTCTTTGAGCTCTTGCTGCAGTTATCAGAAGATTTACCTTGTACCTATAACCAAGATCACTTGCAGATGCAATAGACTGCAGCTTGATTCATTAGAAGGAGTACCAACCCATATAAGTATCTATAATGTGATTACTTTGACTGATGGTTACAAATATGCGTTAAATTTACTGTTCAAGTCATGAAATATCTTCAGGTTAATACAGATGGCGGGATGTCCTTAAGCATCGGTAACGCCACTGGAATTAGCGATATGATGCGGGTTTTGTAAAGTCAGAGCGAAGGATTTTCACCGGGCAGATGTGATAAGATTATCAAGCTCTGCGAGCAGCTGATGAGCGCCAAGGCCCCCAAATTAAAGCCTATTTGTTTCAGCCGCAGTGCTGTGCTTTGGCCCTCATTTTTGCCCCTCAGGAACCAATTATTATTAATATTTATATTCTAGATACCATTTCCAAAACATCTTATATATTATGAAGGTAACATTCGTTTAATATTGCATAAATAAATTTATTTCGAAAATAAATTAGGGAAGTTGTTACGGGGAAAAACAGTGGCAAAATCTCACACATCGTTAATCGTGACGTAAAAATAAACTTGGAGGGGTTGGGTTGCAGAAAACATAAAGAGCAATGCGATGCAAAACTTGCTGATGAAGTGACGCCCGTCACTTGTACAGCTGGCAAGCTGTTATAAGGATAAACCACCGCGCATTTCCGGAACGCCTGTTGAACGTAGGTACTGGCAGTGGCATGCCTCTTCCCAGTGTTGCCAACAGTATTTTTTTAATTCCGTCAACTTTGCTGTAGATTTCCGTCAAAAATCCGTTAAACCATTTTTTTTTCCGTCAATAAAATCCGTCAGAATGAAACATGCGAAATGCGCTAAACAAATAAAATTTATTCAGTAGTGCCAACCAAAAAATGCAGAGTTAACGACATTGACGGCAGTGCCATTTGATTTTAGGCGTTTTTAGAAACACTGATTCGTTTCACCCGATCACCAGAGGCATTTTCTTGCGTCTCAAATGTTTCATAACATTTTTCAAAACTAGGTTAAGTAATGTCACCATGACGTCATAATTTCTCGGCGTGAGAAAATGGTTTGAAAATGTGGATCAGATTGCATTTCGAAACAATTTGAACCAATTTTGACGTGATGTCATGGGTTTATCGCGAGGATGTACTGTTTCAAAATATTTTTGAACCAGTTTTAAAAAAGTGGACG